GGTTTGATCTTCTTGCAGTCCATGGGACTCTCAAGAGTCTCCTCCAGCACCATAATTCAAAAGCATCAATTCTTCTGCGATCAGCCTTCTTTATGGTCCAGCTCTCACTTCCATACATCACTACTGAGGAAACCATAGCTTTAACTATACGGACCTTTGTTGGCAAGGTGATGTCTCTGCTTTTTAAGATGCTGTCTAGGTTTGTCATTGCTTTCCTCCCAAGAAGCAGGTGTCTTTTAATTTCATGACTGCTGTCACCATCTGCAGTGATGATGGAGCCCAAGAAAGTAAAATCTCTCACTGCTTCCATTTCTTCCCCTTCTACTTGCCAGGAGGTGATGGGCCAAGTGGCCTTCTGTGGTTGGTGTCAAATGCTGTGCCACCATTGCATGGTGGCCAAATGTGGACCCTGCAGCCATTGGGGCCAGCACAGTGTGCATGTGCAAACACACCACACACACACACACACAGAGAGAGAGAGAGAGAGAGAGAGAGAGAGAGAGAGAGAGAGAGAGAAGATCCAGGCAGTAGGATTGCCAGGTAACCAGACCTGCAGCCTGACCTGCTCTGACAGCATGACCCTTAAAGGCAGCCTGCTGCGCCAAAATCGACAGCTGAAGCTTTTCAAGGCAGAGATGGATATTATCACCTGCTCTTGCCTGCACATCAAATTAGTGTTAATAGAGTCTGTTGAAAAGATTGCAAAGCTGGTCACCTCACATTAAAAAGAATATTACAGACCTGGAAAGGGGCAGCAAAAATAATGAAGGGGAAGGATCGTCTCCCCTATGAAAATGGGTTGCAGCATTTGGGATTTTTGGGTTTAGAGAAAAGACAAGTGAGAGGCAACATGACGGGAGTTTGTAAAATGATGCATGGCATGAAGAAAGTAGATAGAGAAAAGTTTATTCTCTCTCGTAACACTAGAACTCATGGACATCCAATGAAGCTGACTGGTGGAAGACTCAGGGTGAGTAAAAGAAAGTCCTTTATGCCGCTCATAGTTAAACTGTGGAACTCACTCAGTGATGGCCACCAATTTGAATGGTTTTAAAAGAGGATTAGACAAATTCATGAACAAGGATATCTTTATATAATTTTTTAATTAGTTTTCCAATATACCCCCAATAATAGCAAAATTATAACAATAACAATTCCCAAATTATACAATTATCAAAGTGCCAATCAACTTCCAATTAATACATTTTAGTTAAAATGGCTCCCCGCATGATGGTTTGGGTGCATTTCTGATCTTATATTACTGTGTTCCATAATCTTAATTAATGTCAGTTATATCTCAGTTATAATAATCCCTTAGTCAACAGCTACATAATTAGTTATTTCCATTTGTGATGCTACAATATATAAATGTATAAAGCTTCAAGTGAGGAACTCAAACTATTATCTTTATTCTGCCCTGTGTGTGAAAACTGTTATAACCATGGAGATTCCTTCTGTCCATATATGGTGTTGTCTCTTTCACTTCCCAGCTGTTGTTTTCTCCCATCATGGCTTGGGGCAGAACTGACTCTCAAAGTTTCTCACAGGTCTTACCTCTCCATCCCTTGTTTTGACGTCTTGGAACAGGCAACAGTCTGCTAGAAACCATTCTGTCTCACCAGTAAAACATGTCACAGATCTTTGCCATTTTTCTCTCAGCCTAGGACAAGGTGGGCAGTTTTTGAATGCGCTGAAGATTTAATACTGCTTTCCAGCTCCCGGAATCTCTGCAGCATTCTTATCACAGCCCACAAATTATTTTCCTTCCAGCAAGAGATTAATGGCCCAATTACAGTGGTACCTCAGGTTACGTACTTAATTCGTTCCGGAGGTCCGTTCTTAACCTGAAACTGTTCTTAATCTGAGGTACCACTTTAGCTAATGGGGCCTCACGCTGCCGCCACGCGATTTCTGTTCTCATCCTGAAGCAAAGTTCTTAACCCGAGGTACTATTTCTGGGTTAGCAGAGTCTGTAACCTGAAGCGTATGTAACCTGAAGCGTATGTAAGCCGAGGTACCACTGTAAACATTATCTTAGATTACAACCTGTCAGTAGCACACACAAATCTCAGTCTCTTTTTCCTTGTCTGTTGTTTTTAAATGGAGTTGAGGGGAATTACTCTGTCTTTCCAACAGTCATACTTGAGCTTCTCCTCCCCCTCCTTTCTTCATTTCAGATCACACACCGTTTCTATTTTTGCTAGTTAATATCAATATTACTCCAACGTCCCTGCCTCACTTGTAAATATCTTTTTATTTTATATTCTGAAGAGGGTTGCTGAATCATAAATATTTAACAGAAACTAAGAATAAATAAACCATGGGCTTCCCTCTCCCTAATCGACTCTCACACCGAAGAAAATCTTATCTCAATTCAAACCTTTGATCCTTGTAGCTGGTATATTTGGCAGTACATTCATACCTTGGTTTTCAAACAGCTTAGTTCTTAAACGTTTGGGCTCCTGAACGCTGCAAACCCAGAAGTGACTGTTCCAGTTTGGGAACTATTTTTGGAAGCTGAACATCCGACAGGGCTTCCGCAGCTTCTGATTGGCTGCAGGAGCTTCCTGAAGCCAATCAGAAGCCGCGCTTTGGTTTCCAAACTTTTTGTAAGTCGAACAGACTTCTGGAATGGATTCTGTTCGGCTTCTGAGGTGTGACTGTATGTTGTTGCAAGCCCTTTCCATCACGTGCCGGTACTTTAAAGCCAATTAAAGATCCAATTAAATGGAGAACTTCTGCTTCTTAATGGCAGCGTGGGATGATTTTCACCAGGTGAAGTGCTTTTGCATTCAACGCCTCCCTGCCTCCCATATTCCATGCCAGAGTGAAAGCCAGGTACCAAGACGAACTGCGAGTGAATCCCATTCCCCCCTTCTCTGGGGAGAATTTGCAACAATGATTTACCCTCTGTCATCCTTGTTTTCCATCCACTGATGATCCCCCACTGTAGTGGGGGCTGCCTTCATTAAGGTCATGAACAAGAATATTAATGGCTGATAGCCAGGATGGCTGTGCTCTGCCTTCACTGTTGTAGACAGGAATGCTTCTGAATACCAGTTGCTGGAAACTCTTGGAGAGGAGAGGGCTCTTGTGTTCAGATTCTGCTTGTGGTTTTCTCACAGGCATCTGGTTGGCCACTGAGGGAACAGGATGGGCCATTGGCCTGATCCCACAGCCTCATTTTATGTTCTTATGAAAAGAAAGAAGCTAACTTTATCTGCTGTGTTTCTCTTCTGGGGTCCCTCCTTGGCCCAAAGCAATGAGACAACCAAATATTCCTCCCTTCTCTCTCTTTCTCCCCGCAAATGTACAATGCCAATAACTTCCATAATGCAAGATTAATGGATCTACTTGGAAAAAGTGTTGAGACTTTGATTCCTTGTGCAAAATCCTTAAAGATGCTGTCCTCCTCAACTTTCCACTTTCTTTACTGGGAGGGAATCTAGTGGCTCTCATTCATCAAGTTTAGGATTAATGCACATTCTAAGAAGAAGAAGAAGAAGAAGAAGAAGAAGAAGAAGAAGAAGAAGAAGAAGAAGAAGAAGAAGAAGAAGAAGAAGAAGACAGGACATATGTGGCAGATGCTGGACAGCAAAGCAACGCAACATTTGTTGTAATTATAGGAAACAAGGACACACCAAGGCCTCATATATTCAGCATGGTGTTTCTCAAAGTTCCTGCTTGTTTAGGGTGATCTTTCTCAAAGCAAAACTGTTTTGTTTTTCTCTGTTTCCTTTCTCCATTTCACACACTTGCCAGGAGACAACTCTCATTTAGCAAACTCATCTGTGCAGCTGAACGCTAAGAAAAACAACAACCATTTAACAGAATGCCTTGCAGCCACTGCTATAACCCAGCCTTTCAGGACACTGCTCATTTTTCACTGTGCTTTGCATGAAGACAGCTGACATGATGAGGTAGTCACTGAGCTGCAATTTGCTTTACTAGAGAACAACAAATTGTCGTTTCACCACAAAGATCTCAAAGTCAGTCTCCATATATTTGCCTCATTTGTACAAATTGTCATGCAGCATGCAGAAAGTGTTTGCTTCCAAAAAAATTCTAGTGTGTGGTGGGGCAAAGAGAGCAGTTTCTGTGACAGGTGAGAAGGAAGTCTGCAGCTTGTATAAGAACATGAGAAGAGCCTTTTGGATCAGGCCAGTGGAGCAGCATCCTCTTCTCACAGTGACCAACCAGATGCCTCTGTGGGAAACCTTCAAGCAGGATTTGGGCACTAGAGCAGCACTTTCCGCAACTGATATCCAGAGTCATGGCTGCACTGACTGTAGAGGCAGAGTAGAGGCATGGCTAGCAGTCATCAATAACATTCTCCTCCATGAATTTGTCCAATCCTTTCTTAAATCTATCCAAGTTGGTGGCCATCACTGCCTCCTGTGGCAGCAAGTTCCACAGTTTAACTATACCCTGAATTAAAAACTTTCTTTTTATTTGTCCTGAACCTTTCAGTGATCTTAACTCATCTTCATCTCACCTGGCAATTATGGGAACTCCTTTCAGGTTTAGTTCATTGATTTTTTAAAAAATAATTAAGTGTTAATTAATTGACCAGCATCCAACTGATCAAAATCGGGACACTCTTTTTTGGTCCCAGGCTCTCGCAGGAGCCATTTGACATGCACCAGAGTGCAAAACCAAAAATTGAGTGTCTTTTGGTTTTGCATGTTCAGACCCAGAAACCTCCCCCCTAAATAAATTCACACGAGACTCAAATTTTGGTTTTGGTTTTTGGCAGAATTTAGGCCACAGCTTTATTGATTACAGAAAGTGGGTGGTTGCATAGGCTCTGGTTCGACTAGCTCCCTGCCATGCAGGTAGCGCTGACCCAGGGTTCCAGCATAGGTCAGCCAAGGGTGAATACCTGGATAAGCGGAAAACTGGGCATGGGCTAACTCCGCCACCCAAATGTCCCCCTGGACTCAGGCACGGGCACAACCCCCTCCCAGGGGTTGACCAAACCATCAAGTCCCTGGATTCCTTTAACGGAATACCCTTCACATAGGGATGGTGAGAGCGTTCTCCCATCCCTATCACCTGAACCAGAGCCTATCCACCACACAAGCCCCGTGCTTGCAGCCAGACACTCAGACCTGTAACCAATCCCTTAACCCCACTGACACGGAGGTCAGCCATAAATCAATCCCAATCACAGACAGATGAACCCCAAGCCTGTAAAGGGACGCATCACGAGAGGTAATGCCCGGGTGATGGATCACCATCCTGCCCAAGGCCAGAACCTTCTTGGCCACTGCACTCTGCACATGCCTCCTGGCCCTCTTGGTGGCAGCTGGGCATCGGCTTCCTCGCCATGCACGTCGCTGCAACAGCTGTGACCAAAATATCTTGAGTCCAGAAAGAGCTGCCTTTAACTCTTTCAAGTTCTCCCGCATGCAGGTCTGCAGGCTCAAGCTGGGAGCTTCCGGCAAATCGTTCTCACCCAGCTGCACCACCATTGCCACAGGCGTGCCTTCCACAGACACCTTCGCCCACACCACTGGCTTCATCTCCCTACCACAACTTGCAACATTGCCAACTGCAAATGAATTAGAAATAAGCTCGTAAGTTTGTCTTCCTGCCTTTAATGCTCAAGAGCAGCCTGGCAGAATCTATTAGCATTAATTGTTATTTACAACGATGCCCTCCCTCTGCGCTGCCAAGCCCACCTGGGAAGGCCCGAAGCCCCTTCGCCGTGGTCCCAATAAAGATCCAGGGTCACATCTGACTCATCCTCAGATGTCTCAGAAGACATACCTGTAGAAGAGGAGGTATCGCCATCCTTCCGCCTCTTGGCCCTGTGCTTGGAACGACGACTCTTCTGCTGCTTGCCATCGGATGAAGGGACCCTGGGCACCGGAAGATCCTCCTCAGAAGAGTGGATGCTGAACGTCTCCCTCGGATGGACCGACTGCACCTGAACAGAACTAAAAACATGTAAGGTGCTAGGCTGAAAAGAAGTTCCTTTCCCCATAAGCTGCGCTGCTGGAAGCCCTGAACTCCCAGAACCCGGGGGTGCCGACTGCAAACGTGGCAGTCTGGGCTGAAAGGCCTGCTGAACCGTGGCACCCATACTCCTGGGTCAACCCCTGGGACTAGTTGGGACTGGAATCCTGGAAAAATGCAGCTGGGAAAACAAAGCCCCAGAAGAATCAAAAGCCTCACTCCCTTCACTTGCATCAGAGGGACCATGGGCTTCATAAACAGTAGAAGAGGAGGGGCCAGGCTGGGGATCAGGCTGCCTCCCAAACTCCTGAGCCAATGACTCAAGCTGTGAATTCAACCTTGTCAAGGTCGCAGGGTCTGAGCCAATATTGGCAACAATAGAACCCAGACGATCCAGTGTTTGCTGAGGAACTACTGGGGCTTGCACTGAACACTGCGACTGAGGCGGGCCTCTAATTACCCTTTTTGAAGGGAGAGCAGGACTAGGGTTCCTTTTAACAGGCATCTCGATAAGCTCTCCCACAATACAAAATAAATAATTAAGGCTTAACCCATTAAGATGGCGCTCCCACCAAAACAAGATCATACTCCCGCCAGAAATTACACTATCACCAGTGCAAATGGCACTCCCGCCAAATTAAGCTGGAGAAAATGGCCGCCGGCCCAAGCAGTTTCCCCAACCAGCCTTAAAATTGGGAGGGGGGGTGCAGAGTTCACCAGGCTTACAGAGGGGGAACTCTCAGAAGCCGGAACAAGCAGTAGAACTCAAAATATTTTCACCCCCACTAAACTCAGTTCAAGGCTCTTTAAATGAAAGACGCAGCTATAACTGCTCAAAATTGCTGCTCGGAGAACCCAGGGAAATGGAGGAAACTCCACAGGCAAAAGTGCCAACAGCCAAAGCCCCGTGGGCGAAATCTCCTCCAAGATTAATAAGATGAACCGCTGAGCAGAGGTTTTCTCAGGCCATGGCAACACCGGACTCCGGGAGTCCCCGTATCAGCCAGCTCATGAGGGATCAGCAAACGCTGCACGAAGCCACATATATAAAATCGGAATCCGCAGCAAGCCCCGCAAAAGGGAAAAATCCAGGAAAATTAAAAGAGTGAAAAGCTCCGAAAGGGCACTAAGGGGCCGAGACCCTGTGGGGGGCAAAGGCCCCTCATAGTCAGGGAAGGGCAGGGATGGGGAGGATTAACCTGGAATTAAAGTGAGGGGGAAAAGAGGGTAAAAGAAAGGATAACGAAAAGATATCACCAGGATGATCCATCGAAGGTAAATCACTCTCCCTCTCCCTCTCTTGGTTTGCAGAGGACACACTGTTGGTGTTCTGAATTCAAGCCCTGAAAGAGGGAGCTCTGGGTCATGTGCATGGGCATAAATAGGTCCCTCAAACCGTTTAGACTACGTCCCATTGGCCAGGTTGCACACAGCTTTGAGGGACCTACCATTCGGGTGTTGTGGCTGTCCAAACGTACCCACCCACAACACAGGGTGCCAGTTGTCCAGGTTTCACCGCAATACGTGTCCTCCTTAAGGGAGGACCCAATTTGGCACTCTGGCCTAAGCCAGCTGATTCACATAAGAGCATGAGACAAAAAAAGAGAGTATTTTGGTCTAGTGTTCTGGCATGAGCCAGCTGACACATGCCAGAGCACCAGACCAAAGACCAGGACATTGCAGGATCCAGTCAGTAGTTGGGATGGCTTCAGTAATTTCAGGATGTCCCGCTTAAATTGGGGCAGTTGAGGGGTATAAACTGAGTAAGTTCATTATGAACACTAGTTAAACATAAGAATATGCATTATAATTAGGTTGCACAATAAACTGTGCTATCTATAAGTCATTCTTAGTCATATTGTGTGATATTTTCCATAATTCTTCTCTGCCGATAACTGATGGTTAAGTGTAAGCAGCTCTCACTAGTGTATTCTCCCTTCCCCAAATTCCGCTAAGTATCTCTTTTGAAGTAGAAGCTATGTCCCAATTTTTCACTCACCAACTGTTTTAAAAGTGGCATCATCTCCCTACCACAACTTGCAACATTGCCAGCTGCAAATGAATTAAAAATAAGCTCGTAAGTTTCTCTTCCTGCCTTTAATGCTCAAGAGCAGCCCAGCAGAATCTATTAGCATTAATTGCTATTTACAACGATGCCCTCCCTAAAGTTTTCTGTGCATAAAAATGTTTTTCCCATGATGATCAAGCACTCTTTTAAAAAGCCCAACAATTTAAGCTAAATTATCTCAGACAACTTTGCCTCTCTTTTTTTATTGCTTGGTTTTCTTTGTACAAGAAACTTCCCCAATCTCAAAAACAAAAAAACAAAAAACTCCATAATTTCTTCTGCCCTAAATGAAACTCAGGGAGCCAATGGCAATGTAGGATTGCATCAGTTTGAGTACTAAACAGCAGAAGATATATAACTTCAGACTATAGGAGGAAATAAGAACGTAAGTCGAGTTTGCAATTGGATCAGGTCATTGGCCCATCTAGTCCAGCATTGTGTTCTCACAGTGGTCAGTCAGATGCCCCAAAGGGAAGCCCACAAGTAGGATCCGAGCACAAGAGCCCTCTCCACTCCTGTGGCTTCCAGCAACTGGTATTCTGAAGCATCATTGCACTACTAGAATGTTAGTGTAATACCACTGAAGGAAGCAACAGGCTTGATCCTCCAGCCATCCTCTCTTGGTTCAAGCTGGTGGATGAAGAGAAGCAATGGACCAATACTAGAGATTCATTTTGCATTGTTTGAGTCAGATAAATTATGAGGGTTTTCTTCCCCCCCCCCCATCCCAAATTGTGGAGAATTGAACCCTTTCCCACTGTAGGCAATTCAGCAAAATGCCCTCTTCCCCTCCTCACAAATAAGGTGCAGGATTTGGGGAGACTGCTTATGCTCAGCCTGAGCTGAGACTTGTTTTTGTCAGGCTGCTTAAGTAGGGTGGAGAGAACCAACTCATTTGTAAACACGCTGCAGGACCCCATGCTAACTTTTAGCATAGCACATAATGAGCTGCACTCAAGGCCTCTTGGACACTTTGGAGTCCTCAGAAAGAAAGAAAAAACCCAGCCCCATTTGCTCATGATACAGTCAGCTGGGGAGAGGCAGATCAAAGCCACTTTGTCATCTACATTTGCAAAGTGGTTTGCCTCTCATAGGCAGATTCTCTGGCTGTCGGGATGAACAGAGATAGGGCGGTTTCTCCTTCTGGAGAGGAAGGCCAAGGCAGATGGCTCTCTTTACACAGATTGCAGGCCTCGGGCTTGGAGGATGGAACTGTTGGCTTTAGCCGCTGCTGTAAATCTTCAGCAGGTCGGCCAAAGAGCAGGCAGAAAACTCTCTGGCGACAGGCAGTCTGGGCCTAACCTTCCTCTGCAGGGGTGAGTGAGATGGGGATGGGGAAATGCCTTTATAAAGTGAACCTTCCTAATGTGTGCTGTCTAAAACACAGATGTCCTTCAGCCATCGCTCTTCTCTGCCTTTTGCAAAGTGGGTATCAGACTGAAACCAGCATACAAAGATGCCTATATTCAGGGACAGAACACATAAAGCTCTCATCTATGAGCTGCCCAAATATTGTTGGCCCAGAGATGCAAAGAAAATACAGTTCTGACCAAGGAAGAGTAGCAGATAAAACTAATGAACTATGCTGAATTGGCAAAATTTACAGGAAGAAATTAGGAACCAGGAAGATTCAAACTTTAATAAGGAATGGGAGAAGTATACAATGTATTCAAAAAACTATTGTAATTGTTGGTAGGTTTGACAGAAAACTTGTAGTAATTTTTTTTAACTATGGATTGATTAAGGATTTATACTAATTGGAGTTAGTGATGAGATGCAGAATGAAAATTAAAATATAAGGATCCACAAAAGGGAGGGAAGGGAAGTCAAAGGGGATATGATGTTTGCATTTTTTTTTCTTTGTTGTTGTTATTATAGTCTGTAAAACAGAAAATCCCCCCCCAAATTAAAACTCCCTATGTGAGAGCGAGAGCAACAGTAAATGTGTTTTATCGAGGGAAATTGTGTGTAGAAAATGTGCACCTTAGGAGAAATGCATACTAAAATACTTATGGATATTTTGTAGGATCTTAGAATTGTAGAGTTGGATGGGATCCGCAAGGATCATCTAATCCAACCCCCTGCAATGGAGGAATTGCAGCCAGGGGTGCCAACCTGAATAAAATATTATGGGGCCCAAATAAACCCTGCCCCACATAATGGATCACATGACATGGCACATACACACTAACTGAATGGCAATGCTCATCAACTTGGGGGGAGGATCCAGGCCCCTCAAATATTTTATTGGGGGGCCAAAGGGACCTCAGCCTCAAGGAGTTGGCTCATCTGATCGCAGCTAAGTATCCCTGACAGATGGTCATCCGGTCTCTGCTTAGAAACCTCCAAGGAGGGAGAGTCCACCACCTCCCAAGGAAGTCCATTTCACTGTCTTTTGTGTGTGTGTGTATAATTTTTATTAAGGTTTTCATTTTACAATTTAAAATATTCATTAAACAACCTTAAAATGTCAATGACTTCCCTTCTTCTCTTTCCATGGTTCAATTTGCATATCATAAATCCCTGCATATTTTAAATAAAGTAAACCATTCAGTATTCCATTAATACATCTATAATAACTTGTTTACATTGCCGAATTTTTCTTAATGCTGCCAGCGTTTTCAAGTGTACACAGTTTCCCCCCATATATTCAATAAACATTTTCCAATCTTATTTAAATGTATGTTGTTCTTGTTCTCTTATTCTATATGTTAGGTCTGCAAGCTGCGGATATTCCATTAGTTTAAGCTGCCATTCTTCTTTAGTTGGGGCCTTGCTTGTTTTCCATTTTGGGGCTAACAAAACACGGGCCGCACTAGTGGCATACATAAATAGCCTTTTTTGACACCTAGGAATTTCCATCTGAATTATCCCCAACAAAAAGGACTCTGTTTGGAAAAGTACTTCTAACATATTTTTCAATTCATTATAAACAATTTCCCAATACAGTTGTACATTGGATCCCGAACACCTTGGTACCCAGACACTTTGGCTCCAGAACGCCACAAACCTGGAAGTGATAGTTCTAGTTTGCGAACTTTCTTTTGAAACTCAAACATCTGACGGGGCTTCCACGGTTTCCAACTGGCTGCAGAAGCTTTGGTTTCCGAATGTTTTGGAAGTTTAACAGACTTCCAGAATGGATTCCATTCGACTTCCAAAGTATGACTGTACTCTTTCACTTTTTTACAGGTCCACCACATATGAAAGAACATACCCTAAACCTCATTGCATCTCCAACACTTATCTGATTCAGTCTTATACATCTTTGCAAGTCTACTTGGAGTTAAATACCATCTTTAAATCATTTTCAAATAATAATTCTTCAAAGAATAACATGCTGTAAACTTCACAGTCAAAAAGCTCTTCCAGAAAGTTCTTCACAAAGTTTAGTCAGAATATCCTTCCCTACAATTTCAATCCATTGGTTCAGGTCCTGCATTCTGGAGCAGCAGAAAACAAGTTTGCTCAATTTTCCACGGGGCAGCCCTTTAGATATTTGATGGTGGGTATCATATGTCCTCTCAGCTGCCTCTTAACCAGGCTAAACATCCGCAACTTCCTCAACCGGAAATGGGATTACATGCATCATCAGAGTATTTGTTAAGGGTGTACACCAACCCCGCATGCAGTCCGAATTAAGAGTCAAACGGGGGCAATTCAGATGACAGTTTTCACATGCCCAGGTTTGACTGCATTGCTTCCAAAGTGTCTTGAGTCAGATCAAGGACTCCCTTAAAGTCCCAAATCGTTCTGTGCATGTAAATGCTTAGAAAAAGAAAACAAAAAGCTGCATCTTGCCTTTTAAAATAAAGCAGCTGCTGCATATATTTTTATAAAGTGAAACCAGTGTGACCAGGGAAATGCCTTCAGCTCAAGTAAGGAGAGGATCCTTATTATTTATTTACTTATTGCATTTGTGTATCACAGGGGTCAGCAAACTTTTTCAGCAGGGGGCCGGTCCACTGTCCCTCAGACCTTGTGGTGGGCAGGACTATATTTTGAAAAAAATATATGAACTAATTCCTATGCCCCACAAATAACCCAGAGATGCATTTTAAATAAAAAGAAACATTCTACTCATGTAAAAACACACTGATTCCTGGACTGGTCGTGGGCCGGATTTAGAAGGCGATTGGGCTGGATCCTGCCCCTGGGCCTTAGTTTGCCTACCCATGGTATATACCATCTTTTTCTCCAAGGAGCTCAAGGTGTCACACTTGGTTCTCCCATTTTATCCTCACCACAACCCTGAGAGGTAGGTTAGGCTGATAGAGGCAGTGACTGGCCCAGGGCTACAACCAGTGAGTTTCATGGCTGAGTGGGGATTTGAACCCTGGTCTCTCACAGGTCCTAGTTCCAGCATGCTCAGCACTGCACACTGCACACGAGCTCTACATACAAACATTGTTAACAATCCAGCTCTGCACCTACTATAAACCAGATAGTCTGTACATGAATGTGGTAGCAAAAAACATAGACAGGGCTGCGGGGGGTGAAGGGAAGGGGGGGTCCCCCCACCTTTGGCATGAGCCAGGTCCATCTCTACAAGGATTTGTCTTCATCTGTTTTAAGTGCAAGGAATGACAGTCAAAGCCTGTTATCCCAGCTCTCAAGAGGCAGGTTTATGGCTGTGGAAGGAAGAAACACTTGGAGCTCTCTTTTTTTAAAAAAAATAAAAAATTGACAGGTGCCATGTGTTAAACAGCCCAAGAGGGGAAGGCTTGTTTCAAAACGCTGCAAATCATGACCCAAGTTAGCTCCAACTCTCCTGAAGTACATAAGAAGAGCTCTGCTGGATCAGAGGCCAATGGCCCATCAAGTCCAGTATCCTGTTCTCCCAGTGGCTGACCTGATGCCCCAAAGGAAAGCCCAAACGCAGGATTCAAACACAAGAACAACTCTCTCCTTCTGTGATTTCCAGCAGCTAGTATTCAGAAGCATTCCTGTCTCAGCAATGAGGCAGAACAGAGCAGCCATCAGTAAGCTTACTCTCCTCCATGAATTTGTTGCACAGACTACATCACATTATTCCACATCTATCCAGTCACAGTGCCCATACTGAATTAGAATTTCAACTACCTCCTTAGAATATGATAGAAAGGAAGGATGAAGTTGTGTATCAGTTTTGTATTGCTAACTTTGCTCTCCAAAGCATTGGATGACCAGGAGGAGGCAGAGTTGTAACTGACTGAGTTTGATGAGCCAGCATCACTGAATAACGTTCATCCCTTTTATTTTATCCATTTTGACAAACTCCCCCAGGATATTCTTGCAGAGAAACTGGTAAAATGAGGGCTGGATGAAGTACAGTTATTGTTAGGCAAACTGTTTGTCTAGGAAATATATTATTGCTCTCCTGTTAACAGCTGCTGAATTTATTATAGCCAGCTACTGGAGAACACATAATACAAACCTTTTTGAAGCATGGATGCAATAGATATGGGACATAATTCTTATGGATAAGTTAACAAGTGTCCTAAAGAGAACACTGTACTGGAAAAAGAAACACAGCACTGCACAAAGGTGTGGGTGGGTTGGAAATAATGTTATTGAACATGGGTAGGCAAACTAAGGCCCAGGGGCTGGATCCAGCCCAATCGCCTACTCAATCCAGCCCACAGATGGTCCGGGAATCAGCGTGTTTTTACATGAGTAGAATGTGTCCTTTTATTTAAAATGAATCTCTGGGTTATTTGTGGGGCATAGGAATTAATTCATTTCCAGCCCACAAAATATAGTCCGGAGCTCCACAAGGTCTGAGGGACAGTGGACTAGCCCCCCGCTGAAAGTTTGCTGACCCATTATTGAACATCATCACTATCACCATCATCGTTGTATTAAGAAAGTCTTTCCTTGAAGCGTGACCCAGTCATTTCATTTGGAATTTTACTGCATAATGGTGGGAAAGCTTTTGTTGTTTTTTGTTTATTGGGAATATATCTTTGTATTTTATCTTACTGCGTACACTGCTTTGCCTCTGGTTGTGAAACAGTTTATAGATCTGAAAAATAATTAGACATGTACCAGCTGTGAATTGTAATCTCCCATGTCAAAGCCATGGTTTTATTCAACTGTATACCAATTTAATTAACTCTTGATTCTTCAGCTGTGATTCCTGCATTGTGGGGATTTGGACTGGATGACCCCCAACTCCACAATTCTGAGATAGATAAATTAAAACTCATGTGATCAACCAACTAAAGTGCTGCTGCTGTTGTTTTGACCATGTGATAGCCAAAGACAAAATATTTGCGGCCCCCCCCCCATATCTCAAGAGACATTTAAGGGGAGAAAGAACACATGAACAGGTTTAAGCAAATAGGAACAGCAATTATTTGCTTGAGAATGTGCACCACAACTTCGAGCTGGATCTCAAGGCTCTGGAATCATCACTGCTGATGGCCAAGAAACATGTGGATGGTACTGATCAGAGACAGTCATGCCAGGTAGAGATTTGAGGAGGCAATGCAAAACATACTCTCAGGGGTGAAGGAAAAGTTACTGGCATAAAGGTTGTTTTTCAGTAGAGAATGGATGAGGAATCGGTGGCTCGCCAGATGTTGTTAGTATCCATCAGCCCCAGCTAGCATGGCCAGCAGTCAAGGGTCATGGGAGTCATAGCCCAACACCTGGAGGACACAAGGTTGAGGAAGGCCATTTCGCTCAATGAACATATAAAATTCTGACAACAAAAAATGATTGCAACTTAACAGAACACACAGACAAGGATTTTCCTTCTTTATTAACTTTATTAACATCACTAAAATCATTGCAACTAATCACTTTACAAGACCAAAACAAAAACAAAAAAACAACCCCACACAACAGGTGGAAGATACCTTAAGTGCCTTAAATTTCACAAAAATAGTGTGTGGAATTGCTGGACATCTTTTAGCTTATGATGAACGGAGGCCTGGTGAAAAATGTACCAATTTCACATCACATGATGGTGCTCAACCCCCACCCCACCCCGCGGACCTTTTGCGGAGAAAATGACCACAAGAGCTAGAATACAATAAAGCACATGTTGCATGTCAACTGCTGCTATCTGGTGCATCTTCCACATTTCCCCCTAGCTGCCACGGGATCAGGACATGGGACACCTGCACAATCCATTGATTGTTTGGAATCATGGACTCAGAATACTGAAATTGGCTTGATAACGCCATGCTTTCTTCTTTGGTCACTACAACCTCGAGGACTTAACACTTCTCCAGGAGAAGGGGGGCATGCAGATTGCGTGCCCAGGCGCAGTCCCCCTGCTCTTCGGGAGCCAGGTCTCAGATAAAGGAAAACGCATGACAACGTACTTGGGATTAAAATGGCCACAACTTTCCGGGAACCTAGAAAGCTCTGTGGTGACCAAGGGGGTGGGCAGAACAATGGCCAGCGGAGCGGCATGCCGGGCCACAAACCTCACCCACCACTGGACCCGGTGAGTGGATATTTTCTACCTTCACTAGATCTGTCTACAATTATATTAACAGACTTGCTGTTACTTGGACAGAAACTTCTGAGCGTCTTGAGTAGGAGGACGGCATGAACATCAGAATGACCATGCATCACCATGTTTAGATTTGACCACTGACTAAACATGTGTGTGTATGGACAAGGAACAAACTCAAAAATTCTTTATGCCTCTGAGCTTAGCATTCTGCTTACAAAGCAGGATTGTAGACGTCAGTGCTGCTTGGAGCCTGGAGGGCCATACCCTGTATTAAGTGTTGGCCCTGCAGGGCAGATATAGGCTCCCTCCCACCCTAAACCTCCGGACATCCTTGGATCCTGTTTCCACTTCTACAGCAGCTCTGCTTACATTCTCTTGAAAAACGAAAAACCCAGTTTCATGCATACCGTAAGCATATTCTCTCATGTTCCTGGTGTTCCTTGACTAGCTGGCAGCATGGGCTACTGGTGGGTTTGTCAGGGTTCCTTGAGAATTCAAAACGGGGTTCCTGCTGTGGTGTTGGCCCTTCCCATTTAGGACGGCGCGTTTGTAAAAGGTTCTGCCTATCTATCTTGAATACAAAGTGTTCCTGCTGCTTAGAAGGCCCCTCCCTGCTTCCTACTAGTTTAAGGCTTTGGTAAAGCTGATGAAGGAGAAGTAGCTGAATTGTACCCATGCAGAGATTGTGTGCAGCAACCGGATTGGGATGGAAACCTTTCTACTTTGCGTGTTAATTTCTTCTGCCCGCAGTTAGTTATTTACAGCAGTTAGCTAGTTAATATACTGCCCTAAGTCTCAGGGCAATTCACAGAACAAAATCAAAATATAAAACCACAATATATATAATCAAAGTAAAAACAACCCAATAACAACCCCCCCAAAAAAAAGAACCACATTTTAAAAGGACATAGGATGTCAATCAAATCAACCAAAAGCCTGGTTAAAAAGGAACGTTTTTGCCTGGCGCCGAAAGCTGTATAATGAAGGCGCCAGGCAAACTTCCCTGGGGAGAGCATTCCACAAATGGGGAGCCACTGCAGAGAAGGCCCGTTCTTATGTTGCCACCCTCCGGACAGCTTTCTTGCTGTTGTGACCTTCAACCACATTTTGAAGATCCTTCCAGCCCTACAAAAGTCTGTGTTTGGGGAAAAAGGCAGAATTGTTGGCAATATTTGAATGCCCAGGGTGTTTTTATTTTGTTTTCAGGAAGAAAGCGAAGCCAAAGAGTGGTTTTTATATATTTTTTACAGGAGACATGTAAATCGGTAAAGATTCTAACATTCAATATAAACTGAGTTTGGATTATTATTTAAACAAACAAACAAAAAAGGTGTTGCTTGGTCTGCCTTGATGCTTTGTGCTTTGGTCCTCAGAAACCTGTGTGTGTTGTGATGGGAAGCCAGTTCTTCAAAGCCACAGAATCCGAAGGAGTGCTTTTGACCACACTCCTGAGAAACACAAGACATGGGATGGAGAACCATCGTGCATTCCAAGAACTAGGAAAATGAACATCTCTGCTGAAATGTTGAAAGTACCTCTACCTCCTCCCCAGTTGACCAGAGTTAGAGAGGCACGTTGATGATGAAGTCACCATGTGTATAAGTGCCTCAGGCAGGAGGTGAAGGGGTCCCCCCCCAAAAAAAAACATAGGCTCTTTTGTCTGCTCCAGGATGGAATGAAAACCATACAGGATGGTCCTGTCTCCTTCCAGTGCACAATGCCAGAGGGCTGCTTTCCACCTGGAGAGGCCAAGCAGAGGATGCAGAGGCAGCATATCCGCCAAAATTGCTCTCTGATCCACTGCAGAAAATCAAAAGGTTCATTCTTCAGTGCTTTGCTGTGGGGGAGAACCCCCACTTGGAAATGTCTTCGCATTCTTCAAAAGGATTTAGAAAGGAGTGTCCATCTCCCCACACCCCGTCCCCCACAATGCACAGAGTGATTTGTCTTAAGACAGCCAGTGCGCTAAAAGCTGGTGCTCCCCCAAAGCCCTGCACATAAATCTTGGTGTGGGTCCACCATGCCACATTAAAGGGATGTGGAACAGGGTGGATAAAACTGTTTGCGTGCACCCCCCCCCCACCAACTCTCTTCCTTGGCCAGCCATGGCATTCCAACTTCTCCCAAACATCCCAAAGGGAAACAAACAAGTGTTCTTGGATACAGGCAACAGTAGAAACATGGAGGAAGCAGGAAAGAAAGAGCTACTTTCGGAAACCGATGGCAAGATGGATTTGTTCTCTTAGGAAACTATTCAGAACAGTATGCTTCAACAATGAGATCTTGGAATAAGAGCTGACTCACGAACCAGGAGAGGGAGAACTGGAGGAGGGGCTGTGGCAAATCTCTCTGGAACCAGCCAGGATCAGACATAAAAGTCTAGAGGGGGGCAGGGAGAGAACACAAACTGCATCAATCAAAGCATAACAATATAACTGATTTCTGCACTGCAGGGGATTGGAATCCCTTCCACCTCTACAATTTGAGGAATCTATGAACACCACCAAGAATGTCATGCAATGCAGCAAGGGGCTTGCCAGTGTGCTGGCTGTGGGAGTACCTGCCTCAAAGAGGTCTTCCATGGTCATCCCCCCCGCAAAAAAATCACACACTGCCCCTCTCTCCACTGAAATTAGGCCAGAAGAAAGCATTTTTCATATTATTAAATTTATTCGCCACTGGCAACTCAAAGCAGCTGATAAAAAAGGTCAAATATATACATATATTAAAACCAGGAGGGAAATATTTCTGTCCCATTTGGATGAAGGCATTATTGCAAGATTCTGTCACTTGGATCAGAACCTAACCAGGAAAGGATGGGAAATAGCGTTTAAGTTTATAATCGATGGTAAGATCATAATAGATAAAAAATTGGGGCGGGGGGAGCATATCTCCTACTATGTCTGAATGGACTGAGAAAAATTGAAAAATCAAACCCACTCTTAAAAGGCCCTAGACCAATAAAAGCCAGAGACCTGGTTAAAAAGGAATGTTTTCACCTGGCATCTGAAGGTGGCACTGCAGTAATGGTGCCGGGAGAGTCTCCCTGGATGGCTGTGGTGCACATGGACTCAAAAGGATTGCTGCACACACACACACACACACACACACACACCCCGATGTGGGCATGCTGGGACTGTACCACTTCAGGGCGCAGCTGAGAGGGAATCACCATACCTACAAACACCCCTAGAACTCAGGATTCCACTGAACAATTGCCCGCTTTTTCTAAGCCCCCCACCCCCAGCTTACCATTAATCCTTCAGGTCTCATCACTGGGGAGTCTGCCTTGTGGTGATGAAGAGCTGCAAAGGGAAGCATGGAAGTGAGTGAGCAAGCAAGCAAGCAAGCAAGCAAGCATTATTTGCCTTTGTATCCCACCTTTTCTACACGAGGTGCTCCAGATGGCATGCATAGTTCTCCTCTCCCCCAATTTATCCACACAACAACCCTGTGAGGTAGGTTAGGTTAAGAGATATATAGTGACCAGCCCCCAAGGTCACCCAGTGAGCTTCACGGCTGAGCAGGGATTCGAACCCTTGTCTCCCAGGTCCCAGTCCGACACTCTAACCCCTACACAACCGCTGATTCTCAAGCAAATAAATAAACTAAAACTTGTTCACTCACAATGTAACCCTAAACCTTGGGTAAGGCCAGCTAGGAGGCAGGGCAAGTGAAGGAGACAGAACTAAATCCCATCGGCTGGTGCAAAAGAAAGTTAGAACAGCACAGTGAAGATAGGATAGCAGAGTAGCACCGTTGCACCATTGGTGACTTTAAGGCTGCATCCACACAGTGGTTTATTTTGTAGTTTTCATTACTACATCACTAAGTGTTAATTTCTGCATTATACTGGAGCTTTCGCAGGACATAAAATATAGCAGAATATAGCAAAAGTTTAATGCTCATTTCCAGGAAAAATAAGTGTGCAAATAACATGGGAATGATCACTAACTCTTGCTAATTCTGCTATATTTTCAGAAGTCCAGGGTATGCCCTCACAGAGTGCATGAACCATTATAATATCCCAGCTCAGTCACTGAGACTGTCTGCAGCAGCATGACTGCTTATTTCCTGAATTGGTGAGGCTCATTTCACGACTATGAGAAACCGAGCCTTTAGTATCATCTGCCGAGTCCTCTGGAACTCTCTGCTACTGGAGATTCAGTGGGCACCTTCTGTGCCAACGTTTAAACAGCTGCCAAAAACGTTTATGTTCTGTGGGCCAGTAAGAATGTATCCTTCCACTGTGATTAACTGTTCTCTGTTTCTAACTTAAAAAAAAAAAAACTTTTATGTTTTTATTGCTGTATACTGCTTATTTATGACAAAGCAGCATTCCAATGTTTCTTATAAATAAGTGGCCTTTGTGCTGTGCAAAAGCCAAAGCGTAATGTGGAAATTAACAGTTAGCGAAGTCATGAAAATGAAATAAACTGCTGTGTGGATGCCGCCTAAATCAGAGTATATGCTACCTCATCGTGGCAGCTGCTCCATCTGGCAAGCCAGAACATGGAACCCTGAAGCAACCCCAACATCTGCTGTGCTTGGCACCAACAGACTCTCGGGCTCTTGAGGTGTCTATTACTAGGACCCACTTTAATTCTGTGATTCTAACTTGCCTTAAGCTGTTTCTTGCATAATTTATTCTTATTTATTACAATTATATCCCATCTTTCCTGAAGGAGTGCAAGGTGATGTACATAGGGTCTCACTTACCCATTTGTTCTTCACAGCAACCCTGAAAGTGAATGATTGGCTCAGAGTCACCCAAATGAGTTTCATGGCCAAGTGGGGGATTCAAACTCTGGTGTCTCCCAAGCCCTATTCTGACACACTAATCTTTACGCTTCTTCTTTAGCGATCACTCGTAGCTGAGTAAGATTGTCTTCCATGAACACAGTCTTAGCAGTGAGTCTGTGACTGTGGAGGCAAATACTGGATCCACACGTCCTTTCACAGTGGGGACATAGGCTTCAGGGCAGGAGTTGATCACGGTGAGAGGATTTGCCAAACAGGTCTTCCTCTTAGCTTGTTTCTCCCTTTCAATCACTTTCCCTACCTGGGCAGTTGTCTTTCCACAAGGGCCGACATCAATGCCAAAATCTTGATCAAAGTGCAGAGTGTTAGAGGACCGGGACATTTGCAGGGAAACCAAAATGCTTGTTTACAAAGCTATTGTACTACCAACTTTACTATATGCTTGTGAAACATGGAGCACTTACAAACACCATCTCCAACTCCTCAAAAGATTCTGTCAACTGTGTCTGCGAAAATTTTTATGTATCACTTGGGAAGACAGGCAGACTAATGCCAGTGTACTGGAAGAAGCAAAGACCACCAGTGTTGAAGCAATGATTCTTCAACACCAACTTCGTTGGACTGGTCATGTTGTGCGGATGCCTGATTACCCTCTTCTAAAGCAACTACTCTATTCCCAACTTTAAGAATAGAAAACTTTACACCACACTTGCTCTCAAAATACTATACAAGTTCCATTTATTTATTTATTTCACTTAGATCCCACCTGTACTCCAAGGAACTCAAGGTGGCATACGTGGTTCTCCCCCTCCCCATTTAAAGGTAGGTTAGTCTGAGAGAGGCAACAGCTGGTCCAAGGTCATCCAAGTGAGATTCATGACGCAGTAGGGATTCTGAGCTCTGGTCTCCCAGGTCCCTAGTCCGACACTATAACCACTTTGCCACACTGCCTCTGCACCACTCTGTGATGGGATGTTACCTAGTTCATTGCAAGTCTGAATGAACTGCCTTACCTCCCTCTCCTGAAGGAAGCTGTCTCAAAAAACTTTGTCCTGGAGGCCACCCTGCAAAAGGAACCAGCACAGAACATTCATTTTCATTTCATTTCATTTTGCATGATGAAGCAACAGATCTTTAGGCAAACACTCCCAAGTTAAGTTGTTAGGTAAATGGGAAAGGTCAGGGAAGAACCATGGTTGGACAATACAGTCTTCACTAATACTATTGAGCTTGAGTGGCCTCTCCACATGGAAGAAAATGGGGCCACTAATAGAATCATAGAATTGTAGAGTTGGAATGGAACACAAGTGCCATCTAGTCCAACCCCCTGCAATGCAGGAATCTCAACTAAGGCATCCATGACTGATGGCCATCCAAATTCTGCTTTAAAACTTCCAAAAGCTACCATTTCCTGAAGGAGTTCCTTCTACTATCAAATAGCTTTCAATATCCCTCCCATATCCTTAAAGAAAAAATGCTTCTTTCATCTAATCCTGGGAGAGGAAGGCTATTATTTCAAGGACTCACCTGAAAACCAGCAAAAAATTACCTTTGAGTGAAGAGAGGCGGATTTAGACGCACTCTCATAGTCCATAGGAGCACACAAAGTGGAGAGGAGTGTGCAGGTCAGCTTGTTGTAAGCCTGTTTTTCTGATATTATTTTTGAATAAAGGCAGGCTTCTAGCCTGATGACTGCAAAGATCTACTTGAAAAGTGGGTGGGTGATACTTGCCAAAGTGTGGGAAGCTTGTTGGGTAGTCAAATAAGATTAAAGGCCCTTGGGGATGACGTTAGTAGAAGCCCCTGCAAAGTCACACTCCACAGAACTAGCAAAAAAATTATGCTCTATTGATACACATGTTTATGGTGAATTGTTTTCCTTGGTGCAGAATCTGGAATGCCAAGGCACAGATCTAGGGTTGCCATATTTTGAAGAGCAAAAAAGAGGACATGTTTGCAGACTTCAACTTTTAACTATGGATTGCTAAGGCAACCCATGAAAAAGAGGACATGTCCTGGAAAAAGAGGACATATGGCAACCCTAATAGATGTGTGTGCATGCTCCCTGAGTGTAGGGCAGGAAGAATGTGCTGCCTAGCTTTATAGCTATGTGACATATGTGCAAAGGACACATGCAGAATGCACACACCAAGGACCCTCAGGGCATTCGCAGGTCTACCACTGACACGCAGAGAGACTGAAATGGAACAACAGGTATCAGTTTGCAAACCATCTTTGCCTTGATTTGCAGTTTGCAAAGCATGTCACTTGTGTTACAGTCAGAGAGGCAGCGTAAATGCAGAAGCAGAAGGCGATGTGCTAGTCAGACAGCTGTCAACATCATTCCTCAACCTCCCACAAGGAATGGCAGATTATTCACTCTTTGGAACATCTCCCCCCGGGACACGTTACAGCAAGGTTAACTGCCAAACCCACTGCACCTTTCTTGAGTGGCAACTGTATACGTATGTACTTATAATGTCTATATATAATTTTCTTTCAGAGCTATTTCTGAGAAAGGTTTTAGTTTGCTTTTCTTACTAAACTAAGAATAGGGTGATCCAAGAACCAAGAGCCCAGTATAATTTATGTTGCATTTACGGGTAACTTAGGAAATGCTCAGGGGAATGTAAGTTCAGTGGTTAATATACATAACTAACCACCATGCACATTCACTAGGACTCATGAAGAACATGGAAATAATTCTTCCAGGAAGAGGGAATTTTGCACATTTCCTGCTCTGTAGACACACTCTCCAAAAGGCCTTAGGGAATGTATCAACTGAATTTTGTATGTTCTCCAGCCACTACGCATAATCCCCAACATCTAAATCAGTGCGTGCATTTCTACACTCTCTGATCAACATGCCTGTTGGGAGTTTATGCATAGCAACTGGAGGATGTACAAAATCCAGTCAATATATGTACATTTTTCTCCAAATGCAAAGATTATGCATATTGACTGGAAAATGTGCATAACTCCCTCTTCCATGAGGTCAGGTGAATTTGCACAGTGGCCAGTTGCTATGCACATTAACTGCTCGACTTGCAGTACAATTGCAATTTATGTGGGGGTTCAGTTCCAAGGGTTCCATGTGCACAGGATAATAGTGTATACCCAAACCCTTGGAGCTACCCCACACCTAGCAAAGTGGGGGGGGGGAGAAACCCCAGTACTCCCACAGCTCATGCACTGAGCAGGCCTTACCCCCCGCCCAGCAAAGTGGAGAGGTTTAAAGCCCTTTATGCTCCAGGTAACCCCAAGAAGACCCAACTTGCACAATTTCAAAAAGCTGGCCCTCAACCATATGTGGTTGAAATTGCAAATATGATGCAACTGTACACCAGTAAGGAGGAAAGGAAGCCTGAGGTTTATACCAGGAAGGTTTCTGAGGATATCCTGATACTTTTGCTTTGTTATTCCTAAAAATTAATAAAAAATAAATCCCTGTTCACCCTCCACAGATTAGCCCATCTTTCGGGCCAACCTCTTTGGGTTGGAGCATCCTTAAATGGAGCATCCTGCCAGGCCATTTATCTCCTTCAATGTGTCTTGCTTTGCTACTCACACAGAGGCAGCCTCTGCCTTATGAGCCGCTGGGGCTTTGCATGGAGGGTCCGGGGGTCTCACTGGAGGACGTGTTATCACCGGCTTCTCTCCGGGTGATCGTGCTTTAGCAAAGCCTTCGTATTCACCTGAGTGGGAAAGTAACAAAGCACTGTTAATAATGAAAGGGAATAATGATGCTCAATCCACATTTGTAAGAAATCAATCTTTTAGTGTGGAGGCACCCACACTTCAGAACTCCCTGCCTACTGATATCAGACAAGAGCCTTCAATGTACTCTTTTTTGGCATCTGCTCAAAGCATTCTTGTTCAGACAAGCCTATCCAGATATTTAGAAGATGGATGTGTTTTTAGTTTATTACTGGTTTAATTTTTTTAAATGTTTTGCTTTTACTAATAACCTCACTGCTTCTTTCTTTCTTTCTTTCTTTCTTTCTTTCTTTCTTTCTTTCTTTCTTTCTGGTTTTCTACAAACAAGCGGTATATAAATTTCATGAAGTCAATCAATCAATTAATTAATTAACAAATGAAGTTACTGTAGAGTTTAGCTGAATCATCCAAGTTTCCAAGCTGGGATGTGGCAATAGTCCTAGGAATGGAAATGCAAAGCACAGTGCAGATTCAAAGTATGGACTGGTTCATTTAAGCCTCTACACCAGAGCTTTCCAAACTGTGTGTCACAACACTTTAGTGTGGCGGCTGCAGTGTGTAAGTGTGTCATGCAAACGCTCCCCACGCTTTTCCCAGGGCTGGAAAGGGGCTAGCTTAACCTCCGGTTTGCTAGGAAAACTGAATGATTGTGTCACAAATGATGCAAAACTGAACTACAGTGTTGCAAAATGATGCATGCCTAAAAAGTGTGTCACCAACATGAAAAAATTGGAAAGCTCTGCTCTACATAATGGACAAGTTTGCATTCATTTCAATAACCTGAGCAAGTTTCTAATTAGGAAACAAAAAAGCATAACACCATTACAGAATCCTGTTATAAACTATTGTGTTGTTTTGTACAAATTGTCCCACTCATAGATGGCCAAGACCCATAATGAAGTCTGCAACATTTGGCATGCAATATCTTTCTTTGTAATTACTGGCTACATGCCATCACAATCCTGTTGAAAATGCTTCCCCTTCTCCATCCTCCTTATGAGAAAAACTCTAGCACAAAGTACAGTCGTACCTTGGAAGTCGGAAACCATTTCGGAAGTCCGTTCGACTTCCAAAACATTCGGAAACCAAAGTGTGGCTTCTGATTGGCTGTCAAAAGCTCCTGCAGCCAATCAGAAGCCATGGAAGCCCCGTTGGACATTCGGCTTCCAAAAATAGTTCACAAACTGGAACAGTCACTTCTGGGTTTGTGGCGCTCAAGATCCAAAACGTTCAAGAACTAAGCTGTTCGAAAACCAAGGTAAAACTGTACATCTTGATCAAAAAGCCAAGATCAATGGAAGTGTTGCATTGCTCTATTCTGCCTTGGTCAGACTCCACGTGGGGTCTGTTCTGGGCATCACAATTTAAGAAAGATTTTGACAAGCTGGAAGGTGTACAGAGGAGGGCGACCAAGATGATCAAGGGTCTGGAATCCAAGCCTGATGAGGGACAGTTGAAGGATTTGGGTATGTTTAGCCTGGAGAAGAGGAGACTTGAGAGGAGATACGAGAACCACTTTCAAATATCTGAAGGGTTGTCCCATGGAGCCAGCTTGTTTTCTGCTGCTCCAGAGGGGAGGATCAGTACCAATGAATTCATACTACAATAATGAAGGTCATCAGAAAGTATTTTGTTATGGTAAGAGCTGTTCAGCTGTGGAACAAACTCCCTCAGAAGGTGGTAGACTCCCCACTGGGGGTTTTTAAGCAGAGGTTGGATGCTCTTCTGTTGAAGATTCTTTAGCTGTGATTCCTGCATTGTTTGGACTAAATGACTCTTAGCATCCCTCCCAACTCTACAATTCTATGAAAAACTAGTTTGTTTCATTATCGACGTCTACTGACCATCCCTTGTTCCAACTGGCAGATCTAAAGTTAAAGTATGTTAATAAATCATTGTCTTCACTAAGCACAGCAGCATTTTGAAAAACAACAACTGGGCTTTTCTAATATCTATGAAGCTGTTGCACATTTAATGGAAGTTCAATTGGATTAATCGGATGTCAAACTTCACAAGGCAGTTCATCAGCTGACAAGGGAACTCAACTCAACAAACAAGGGAAGACTTCAAAAGGGGACATCTTAAACGGACACTTGAAGTGGTTTATCCTCAAGCTTGAAAAGAGACAAGATCCCATGTCTATGATGCAGTGTGAACTGGTATTCGTTTACGAACAAAACATCATTTCTTACACAAAAGGATGACATAAAACGGTCCCAAAGCACACAAAGAATCACAGAACTGTAGCACTGGAAGGGACTCAAAGGCTTGTCTAGTTCAAACTCTTGCAATGCAGGAATCTCATGAACGTTTACAGAAATGGAAATTAAACATTTATTTGGCTTGAGTTACAGCTCACCCCATCATGAGGGCCCGATGTTATTAGCTGGCGCATTATCCTAATGCCATTATACAACATCTATGGTGTGGCCGCATTTGGAGTACTCTACATTGTTCGGGTCACCTCACCTCAAAAAGGAAATTGTAGAGTTGGAAAAGCTTCGGAAAAGGTGCAACCAGAACGATCAAGGGGGTGGAGAGACTCCCCTAGGAAGAAAGGATGCATCGTTTGGGGCTTTTTAGTTTGGAGAAAAGGCAAGGGAGAGGTGAGATGATATAGAAGTTTATGAAGTTATGCATGGGCTGGAGAAAGTGGAGAGAGGAAAGCTTATTTCCCTCCCTCATAAGACTAGAACTCATAGACACCCAATGAAGCTGAGGTTTGGAGGATGCAGGACACATAAAAGAAATGACATGCAGTGCATGCAGGGCAAGTTAAACTATGGAACTCGCTTCCACAGGAGGCCGTGATGGGCAACAACTTAGATGGCTTTAAAAGAGGACTAGGCAAATTCATGGAGGAGGAGAGGGCTAGCAATGGCCAGGATGGCTATCCTCTGCCTCCACAACTGGAGGGGACAGTGTTGCTCTTGCTTTTGGGTCTTGCTTGCTGGTTTCCCCACAGGCAACTAACTGTTTAGCCACTGTGAAAATGGGATCCTGGGCTAAATGGGCTGCTGGCCTGATCCAGCAGACTCTTCTGATGTGCTTTTGTAAGCAAAACAAATGCAAGATGAAAAAAACTGATTATGATTTCATCTAAATCCATGTGTGACCTGGAGAGAGCAATACAGCAAGATAATGCTAAATATGATTGGTTTGACTAGCAAGAGGAATGGCCCCAAACTTTTAAGTCATCCTTCAGTCTGTCTGGATTGAGAATAGGTACAACCTCAATCTTCAAGGTTTAAAGATGACATCAGTTTATAACAGTGACCTTCTCCAGGCTGCTACGTCTCAAAGGAGATTGCACAGAAGCAATCTTTGCATCTGTCTTCTGTGTGGAAGATGTAGGGGCCATTCCTGCACCTGAACAAAATTTCACAGGAAGGGAGTCTGAGGAACTGATGCCAACAGTGATGACAAGAGACAGAATTTTTAAACCTTGTTGACAGATTAAAAACTGACAAATCTCTGGGGACAAATGGCATCAACCTGAGAGTTCTGTGAAACTGGTGATCTTCTAACAAAAACATATGACTTGTTCATAAGATCATACCTGAGGACTGGAAAGTGGCAAGTGTATTTTTTAATTATTATTTTTTAATGTAGGGCTACAGGTTCTTTACCTTTTCACTAAACACTGGATTAGCACTGTGCGCAAATGCAGCCCAAAAGTGGTGGTTTTTGTTTGTGTGTTGTTTAAAAACACGTAGTTCTACACCTTAAGCATATTAGAAAAATCAGTGCATGCAGATTGCCTAAAATATCTTCCCCACTCTCCCTTCTGCCACCAACAGCTCAGAGGCAGTGTGTGCTGAGGATTTTAAATATCTCACTGCCTCTTTTATGCCCCAGCAGAGTCAGGGGAGCTTGGGTTGTCCAAGAACTTCCACATTGCCAAAACAAATTAAAGAACCCCTAGCTGCTCCTGACCACCATTCTGAAGGGTGAGGGCATGAGACCTGCACCAGAAGAGAAATTAAAAATGTATCCAATGCAAGAAGAACATTTTGAAATTTTAAACAGGTATATAATCTATGGTATTGTCACTAGCACAATAACTGAAAAGGCAGATGTTGAATAATTCGCTTCCGGAATTGGAAGTGCAAGACTTTTTGAAGCTGAGATTTGTAAACAAAAAAAAAAAAAAAATAGATTCCAGTTAAATGAACCCCAGATTTTCCAGCACCATATTCATCACATCCTGCTTTGCAAGTTCAGGAGGTCTGGATGCTGTAAATTGGTAGAAAAATCATTAAGCAGATGAATAAGCAAAACTAACTGAAACTTTATTTGCTTGGTCAATTTTTAAGTGAGGGCAAAGATCAGGAAAGCTTAACTATGATCACACTTGTTTACTTTTGAGACTGCTTTACTTCTATGCTATAATAATACTTTGAAGCAAAGAATGGCAGCTGCTTCTTATTCATTGATGCATTTACATCCTGTATATCTAAAACAACCTTCTCAGTTACTTGGTCTCCATTTGTTAAATATGTTTTGGACAACAGGGGTCAGCCCCACTTACTTTCTAGAATTATACCTAAACGATTTTTGAACCCTAGCTTAAAATGGACGTACTATCTTTGTTGGCTTTCCATATTGCTGTTAATATACTTCCTTCATGATTGTTTGGATTTCCTCTTTTTTCCCCTATGAACTAAATTCATAGTTTAGTTCCTGTCCTATGCATCTTGCTTGTTACCGTGTAATTTTTGTTTACTTGGAAAAAAACAACTCAATTTAAAATTTTAGAAATAAAAGGATGAAATGGAAACCAGTGTGCTGAATTTCCAGCACAGATTTGAGAAATACTGAGTAAACTTAAGAAGACTGTGTGTGAGGCTTCGTATGTCAAAGGGAGTCCCAGCTCAAAATGTCACCTGGGAACTTTTGAGAGTGTAAGTTCATAGTGGGACAGGGGTTTGGCTCCTCTTCAGTTCTTAACAAGCAAGAACAACATGTAATATACAGG